GATCCTGAGGTTTTCAATTCTTTTTTTTTTTTGTTTTCTTATGTCGTTTGTTTTTGTTTTCTTAAATATCTCTTTACTATATTAAATTGTTTTCAGGCTGCATTACGAGGTCTTTGTGAAGATCTTGACATTCCATTCCAAGATTCAATGCTCAAGTATGTCAATGTTTTCTACCAGTTAGCAGTTACTTAGATTAAATTACATTTTTGGTCCCGAAAAAGTTTTCTGTTGCAGTCGTGGTCCTTATTTGAGGTTCTTGTAATGTTTTTGGTCCTTGTTAATATAACTGATTTTCGCTCTAAAAAATAGTCATATTACTTGGAACAGAGACCAAAAACCTAAACTAAGGACCAAAATTGAAAAATCAGCTATACACAAGGACCAAAAAGGAAATTTACTTATCCTTTTTGTATATCCAGATGGGAAGCTGGTCCAAAAAGTGTTGATGGGATTTGGGCTCCATGGTGGTACAAAAATGTGCACAAATCTACAGGCTTTGTACAACCAGTTAAATATCGCCCTGTATGTACTACTTAATTAATTAACTCTTGCTAAAAACACCAATTTTTATGTATGATTGAAAATTTTGAATAAAACCATTGGTTACTAAGTTGCTTTTTTTTTCTCATCAGCCTTTTCCACAATCACTTTATGATGTATTGGAGCAAAGTCTACCCTTTTATAACATGCTTAAAAGTCACGCAAGAAGCACAAGATTCCCAAAGATTCCAACACCATCTCTCCCTGTTGCTACTAATCAAAAGATTCTTGTTTGGGTTGGTGATGAACTTTTACCCCGTGACAATGCAATGGTAAGTATACCCATTATAAAAAAATATAGTAATCTTTACTTTCTATGCATTCTTATTGTTTTTTTTTTTTTTTTTTGTGACTTTAAATTAAAGGTTTCAGTATTTGACTCAGTTGTCCAAGGTGGCGATTCGGTGTGGGAAGGACTTAGAATTTATAATGGGAAAGTTTTTAAACTTGAAGAGCATTTAGACAGGATGTTTGACTCAGCAAAAGCTCTAGCTTTCAACAATGTCCCAACTCGTGATGAGGTCAGATATCTCATATATTCAACATTGTAAAGTTTAGTTTTATTAAATTGTTGATTTGTTTTGTATTTAATTGTGATAGATTAAGGAGGCTATATTCAAGACTCTGATTAGAAACGGGATGTTTGACAATGCACATATTCGTTTAAGTCTGACACGTGGCAAAAAGGTGACATCAGGGATGAGCCCGGGTTTCAATCTTTACGGATGCACCTTAATTGGTAATAACCAAATTTATAATAATAAAAAAAATGTTTCTTTCCACCAAGTCATATATAATTATATATGTCCTGATATCACAAGAAAGATTTAAGTTTTGTGTGATTGTGTTGATTCCTTTTTTTTTTTTCTTGTGACTCCCTCATGCAGTTCTTGCAGAGTGGAAACCACCAGTGTATGATAATACAAAGGGAATTACTTTAGTAACTGCCACCACTAGGCGTAATTCACCAAATGTAAAAAATATAGAAACCGATTATATTCCTTACTATTATTAATGCAATGTACTTTCTTTTATTACTAACTTTAATTTCTTCATTTTCTTGTAAGAATTTGGATTCCAAGATTCATCATAACAACCTCTTGAACAATATACTCGCAAAGGTAATATCTTTTTATTAAAAAAAATTATGGAAAAAACAGTTTTAAGTGGTTTGAGATTAACAAGCTATTAAGTTGATGCAGATAGAAGGGAACAATGCAAATGCTGATGATGCGATCATGCTTGACAAAGATGGTTATGTGTCTGAAACAAATGCTACAAACATTGTAAGTCCAATGACATAATTCCAAAACAGTAATTGGAATTTGTCTGTTGAGTTATTAACATATTTTAATAACTCCATTTTTCTTTTTATTGTAGTTCTTGGTGAAGAAAGGTATTGTAATGACACCTCATGCTGATTATTGTCTTCCTGGCATCACCCGAGCAACTGTAAGATTTTTCTGTGTATAAATCCTTCACTTCTTTATTGTTGTCCTATATATGTCAACTTGAGATATAAATTTTAATTTATATTATCCATATTGATTTTTTTTTTTTTAATATTCCATACTCCACTTGTTTCAGGTGATGGAGCTTGTAAGGAAGGAAAAGTTGGTTTTGGAGGAACGGCGCATCAGTCTATCAGAGTTCCATACTGCAGATGAGGTTTCCAAAATTCACTTTTATAATTATTTGTAACCTTTACAAAATATATATAATAACTCAAATGTTTTTTAATTAACAATGTAATAATTTACTGCAGGTGTGGACTACTGGAACTATGGGAGAATTGAGCCCGGTATGTTGCTAGTATTTGTATAAATGAGTTTTGAATAACCCTTTATTTAGTCAAATACTACAGAATGTAATACTTGTGATGTGGTTGTTGCTTTTTCCTTAAAAAAAAAAAAAAAAAAACAGGTTGTGAGGATTGATGGACGCATAATTGGTGATGGCAGAGTTGGAGCTATTACTAAAAGACTGCAGACTTCTTTCAAGAAGCTGACTACTGAAGAAGGGCTTGGGGTGCCTATACCTGCCTATCATTAGCAAGCCTGAATCCTGAAATCACACAACACAGGTTTGCTAACTGGTTGAAATTATCATTAATCATTACACATAAGTTGATGGTTTTATTTGTTAAGTACGTAGACAATGAATTATCAAACCTTTTTTTTATGTTCGTGAGTTTTTCTTCTTAGCATATAACTGTGGTGTCTGATATTTAGTCATCAGAGTTTTTCTTTGGTCTGTTTTGTTAATTGCTATGACATGGTTTTCATTAAGCAGACACTGGAATGGAGAAAGAGATGGAAGTTGAATTCGGGAGTTTAAAAAGAAAAAGATGTGGAGTAGTGTGAGTGAGAGAGTGTCATCCTAATAAATAAACTGAAAACGAGTTGTGCAATATGTATATGCATGCATGTAAAATTATGAATGAATCTTGCAAGGTTTTACTTTTCAAGTGAGTGGGTGGCTTTATTTTGATTAATTACATATCTGGAACTGCACACTTCCATGAGCTTATTTAGGGATTCCCTCCCAAATAATCTGAACCACTTTATGAAAATCATATTTTTCTCAACTCATTCAACTCACTTGCCACATCATTTTTTTATTTAATTAAATTATAAAATATAAAATAAATAAAAACATAACATTTTTTTCATTTAAAAATAAACTTTTGTTAATTTAAAACAAAAAAATCTAAAATAATATTAAAAATAACATTTAGTTAAAAAACAAGACTACGAATAAAAAATATATATGAAAATTATAAAACATGATAATTAAAAAAACACACTAAAAAGACAAAATAATTAAAATCCTAAAACCATAGTTTGAATCATCCGCAAAGTAACGTCACATCAGTAGTCGCTGAGTTTCTAAACGATCTATTTGAATTGTGTTTTTCCTTTGCACGTTGCTTGAACTAGCATTATTTTGAAGAAGTTATGCAGTACGAGATAATGCAAGTAACAAATTATTGTTGATAAGTTTATCAGATGATGAACTATTGTTACATTCCATTATTATTTCCCTCAAATAAGTTCTCCCACTAATCATACTGTTCATCCTACGGTTATAGATGCAATTGAAAGCGTTACATTTTTTTGGAGGTCGTTCCATTTTGAATCTACTTTGCGTCGTGACCGATCCGAACCTCCAATTTAAACATTAAAATGCTCTAGAACCCGATCCCAAAATGCATAGAACCTTTGTTGATTTTCACTTTCTTTATCTAGAGAGCAATCGATATATACCCTAGCCAAAGCCAACTCTTCGTGTTCTACTCATTTCTTTGACTTTTGGCGGTTTTTATAGTTGCATTTTTTCTTAGCAACGAGTTCCAACTCCTCGTTGGTTTCTTCTTCGTTTTTTCGGGAACCGGGTCATCACTAGAACCATCAGATTCTACGTTTCGAACATCACGGAACTAGAAATTCTCGGGTTGAGAAGATTGGAATTGGGTTGCCGGAACCTTTTGAGAAAATTGATTACAAGGATTATAACTCAGATTTTTCTCTAAAAGCCTAAATGTGTTGTAACATTGTTGCACTAGGTAATATTATTATAGATAATTTTGACTTTGTTAGTAGTTTTGGTATTGTTGATAGTTTGGATTTTGAAATTTTGAAGAAGAAAATGAAATAATTTGATTTGAACCGTCTTGTGTGGATTTTTGTCATTTGCTAGAACCAACTTGTTTAGCTTTGTCACGTGAATAAGGTAATTGAAAGAATTGAGTGGAGTGGTAGTTTGAGTATTGTTGATATTTTGGTTATGTGTCCGTTCACTCTTGAAATGTATAGCGTACAATATATATCTTGTATATTATTTGTTTTATTTTAAAAGAAAACAACAAAAAAATATAAAATAAATAAATAAATATTATACAGAGATTCCCTGCAAAATAGAGCATTGTGTAGTCAAAATCATATTCACATTAAATGTCTATAGCTTTTATGGCATCCGATTCTTGAAATGTATAGCATATATCTTGTACATCATTTTTTTATAAAAACAAAAAGAAAAAGATGAATAAAGAGCTGAATCAATTCTTTCTTCTGCATGAATATTGCATTGTGTAGTCAAAATCATGTTCATATGCATGTACGATGATAACTTACGGGTTGGTGAATCCATTGCATGCCTTTAATATATCCAACATGCTAAACCCACACCCACAATTGAAGAGACCATGAGTCAGCAGTACCACCTCCTAACCCGCCAACTGTAACCTCCCTTTGAGTACTTATTACATGTCATGTCTACATGAGCTATTAAGTACAACAAATAAGTTAAGTTGAAAGGATTATTAACTTTGCCATGGGAATCGGAACACATACAGATATAGGGCATTAAATCAAATTTTGATTAATCAAGACTATTAAAACCTTTTTCAAACTAATAATAGTCGTATAAGTTATTTCATTCCATATTTATGTTTATTTGATTCAGGCAGGAGTTGAATGAAATTGGACTATCTGAAATAAAAACCAACCAGCAAGTCCAATAGCCCACCCTGTTTGACTAATTAAGGTGAAACTAGTGGGTGAAGGTGGAAGGATGATTTCACTGCACCTGTATGTAAGGTATTGGTAAGTGGTAACAAGAGGTGCAAAAGAAAAAGTTGGTAGAAAGAAAGAATGATATAATCCAGTTCCACCAAAATCCTTATCTGAAAAAAGCACAGCTTTATGACATCATCTCAAATTCACCAATCCTAACAACAATATTCTCTCACCAATAAAGGATGATGGATAACATAGCATAACAGGTGAGGTCACCACTCAAACTAACTGACTAACTAACTAACGATACATCTGACTACTATCATACTGACCATAACCGGCTTGTGGCTGTGACTGAGGCTGAGGCTGTGGCTGTGGAGTTGCATATCCACCAGCTGTTTGAGTTTGAGGAACAGACTGATCATAGCCAGGCTGAGCTGGAGCTGGAGCTGGAGCCGGAGCCGGAGCCAGAGCTGGTGCCGGTTGAGAATAAGCAGTAGGCTGAACAGGTGGACCATACCCCATCCCTGGACCACCATAACCCTGATCCACAGCCGGCCCTTGGTAACCATAACCTCCAGTGTTTGGAGCTGCTGTTGCTGCTTGTTCACCGTATCCAGGTTGTGTTGAAGGGTACTGACCATAACCGCCAGTCGGAGGAGCATAACCAGGCACCGCCTGCTGTCCATACCCAGAAACCGGTGGAGGAGGAGCGTAACCACCAGGGTGATTGTATCCATCGTTATTAACAGGAGCAGGGGCAGTAGTACCATACTGAGGGTAAGGTTGTTGGGTGGGCCCAGTTGACATAGGGTATGGCTGCTGCTGACGAGGTGGAGGTGGTCCGTAAGGCTGACCATAGGGTCCCTGTTGTTGTTGTGGCATGTTGTAGGCTAGGGGCTTACCATACTGATCAACCTGCTGCTGTTGCTGACCATATCCTTGATTTTGAGGGTAAGTTGAAGGCGGAGGCTGGGTAGCTTGTCCTTGTCCTCCTCCATATGAAGAATATGAATGTTGACCCATGGGCCCCTGGTTGTGATCATACCTGGGTTCACCATAACCTTGTCCTTGCCCCCCGTACCCCCCCTGTGGTGCAGTCTGCCCGTAATCCGGTCCATAGTTGTAGTTTACTTGAGAAGGAGGAGGTGGGCCCATTCCCATTCCCATTCCCATTGAGTTAGGGTGAGACTGCATGGGATTGGGAGGTGGTGCACCACCATAGTAGTCGTAACCGTAACCAGTCTGTTCGGGCATATTTGTTGGAGGTGGTCTTTGGTCCCAACCATAATTGTTTTTGGGTGGCAGAGGTTGTTGTGGTGGGTAATTTCCATAACCTGAGGAGGAATATGGTTGGTTTTGAGATGCATAGGATCCACCTCCACCTCTTGATGGTGGTGCGGAATAGTTGTTATTATACCCACTTGCATGTGAATGTGAATGTGAATGTGAATGTGAATGGTGACCACCGCCACCGCCTCTTGGTCCTCCCCAATTAGACCCGGGTCCACGTTGACGCTGGTTGTGACCACCTGATGGTGTTGATGACCTCATTGGCTAATTTTGTAGCATCAACACAAATAACCACAAGTCAGTATCATGTTTATATATAGATAATAAAATAAAAAATACAAGTCAAAGATAACAAAGTCATTATGATCTACAAGAATGAGAGCAAAAACACAATTCTGAAAGCAGAAGATACATGTTAATAATATCATCTTCATCTCTGGAAGCAACATCAACACATGACTATTACCATACCGAACCCTGGTGAAATCTGCTAATTAGTCATAGTTCCAACTAAAACTACATTATTATAATCACATATAACAATATTAAATAGGATTCAGCTAACAACATGCTTTACGTAACAATTTGCTTCTAATTAAGAGCAGCTTAACAGACATTAACAAGTATACATGGGAATGGCTTTCAAGATAAGCAAAAGAAATGGCAATTTGGTTCATCAACTCTCACATACTTAGATAGATAAAGTGGAACAACTTCAAAAGATGTGCAGTCAGTCAGTAACAGGACCACATGATTAGAATTTACAACTAAATTACTTCAATTAATAAACTTGCTCCCCCTCCCTAACACAGACACTACCACAAAACGCTTTATGTCTCAAGAAAGAATCAAATTAGGTTCAAATATCAACTAAATTATCCAGGCATGATGCTTTCTTTTTCTTCAAAGACATATCTCATGCATAGAACAGAGGACGTGGTATAAATTAGTATTTTACCAATACTAGTACTATCATTCATGGATCTTTGAGTCTTGAAGCAATCTTACCAATACTATTAACTTCCTTCAAAAGCCAAGATTTTATGTGTGAAACTGATACTGATACTGATACCTTTCCTCAGTGGATGAATGAGAGACTGAGTGACTGACTAATGGTTGTTTATTGCTACACCAAGAAACCAATGCTGACCCAGTGTCAGGAAGTAAAAGCCAAATCTGCATTTTTAAAAGCCAACCAATTCCAAAAATCGGCATCTTCAAAACAAATAACCCATATCTCATTTTCAATTTCAACCTCATTCAATCATACATCATGTTGTCAACGCTGATGAGCTTACAAGTAATCTTTGCTCCAACCCTATAACTACAATTAGACAACAGGCAGGTTTCTACTCACACCACTCGATACTCAAGAAGCAGAAGAAACTACACAACCAGTGGCAGAAACTAAGAATGATTTCTTGTCAGGGCTTCAGCTATTGTAGCATTGAAAAAAGATATACTACTAATGTACCATCAGAAAATACATATACTGATCAAACGTGGGAAGAGCATCAAGATAAACTTATGTACATGATACTTCTAGCCAAAATCATATGGTAGTAACCTAGTGTATACACATGATAGAACTTCATGTAAAACTCGGTATCTATCAATGAACTGATAACCAATATTACAGCAAACAGAACCTGAGAACGATTACAAATTTAATATCTAAATATGACTAACTTATCAAGGATTGATATGAAGTTTTTGTCTATGAAACACAAATCAGGCAAGGAAATAACCAAAAAAGTGTTGCCCCTTAACACACACAGCTATTTAAGCAATATCCACAGAAACTACATACAGATCAAACAATAAAGACTACTTCAAGAGCATTCAGAAACACTATAAAAACAATGTTCACAAATATTAAAGATGCCTACGATAAAAATCAGCAGATCTAGAAACCATCAAAATACAGAAGCATATTGCAATTATCAAGTCAAAAGTAAAGGACGTGCACAAACCTGTTCCATCACTTCCTTGATCAATTCTTTTGCTGTCTCAATCTGTTTCCTATCACCAGTGACTCTCACAGTTCTTTCTCTAGATTGGTCCCCATCAGGAAGATGTTGAGGAATCAACTACATGATGCATAGCATAACAGATTCATAAAAGTAATTCAAATTAAGTCTTGCATCACACAGGCAAAGGGGTCAAGCCATCTCATAAACTACCTGAATGCGTGCTCCAGACCGTGTCTGCAGGCTTTTAATAGTTTCCCCACCTTTCCCAATTATTACACCAACCTACAGGAAATAAATAAATAAAAAAATTAAGAAGTTACAGAAATCCAGATATAATAGATATGGGGATATGAAATTGCAAAGTAACCTTTTCATTTGGAACTTGTATGTGAACTTGTTCTCCAAATCCTCCTGAAGAATGGGCGCTAAAACCTCTGGCAACCAAAGAAGGGGAACCGCCAGCATCAGCCTGCAAGATGATAACTTAGCCTCAACATATACAGGTAATACAAGATTGAAAAGAACATTAAAATAAAAAATATTACACCTCTGCTATAACATCTTTTATCAGCCGCTCAGCCTTATTTATATTCTCTAAAGAACCTATTAACTCCACAGGCCTGAAAGGCGAATCTGGATCAACATCAGAGTCCCGTGTGATTTGAATCCTTGCCCCCGAACTATATTGCAAGGTTCGGATAGTGTCACCACCCTTGCCAATTAAAACACCAACCTGCTCCAAAGAACCCATGCAACTCTTTTAAAGTGTAAAAGGTCTAACTTAACTAGTCAACATAAAATGTCAGGAAGCTCACCTTATTACTTGGGACTTCCATTCTACGTGAAGTAAGTTGGTCAGCCGAAGCAGATTGCTCCTTCAAATCAGACTCATCTTCTTGTAAACCAACATCTGTAGTGGGATCCTGATATTCTACTCCATATTCCTGTTGCTCCTCTTTGGGTGACGCTACAGGATTCTCAGCAGCTTGCAGTTCCAATGAACTTTCCAGGGGTTCGTCAGTTACAGATTCTTTGTTCACATCATCCAAGGGTTCATTTGACTTTTCTTGATTCTCCTCCAACTCGATATTCTTCACAGAATCTGATGGTTCAGCAATGTCTTCCTTTTCTTCATCTACCCTTTCCTCCTGGTGTCCATTCTCGGTAGTTTCTATTAGTCATATGAGTGAAAAACAAGTAAGATTACAATACAGTCAGAGTTTGTGCTTCAAATTTCAGCGAACATTTTGATGTAAAGTATTTTCGTCTGTTATTTCTCATCATATGTATCAGTCCATCAAGTTAATCGTCATACAGGCATTTAAATTGAATCTTACATTCCCTCTTGTCATGTCAAAGAACTAAAAATGAAAAGAGGATTGTGTAAACAAATATGCACCAAAGCTTTAGAACAAAATTTTGAAAACATTCAAGACCCAAGGTGGAGAATTGAAAATCATGTAAAACAAACCGCAGTGGTAATGCAGTGATTTGAGAAAGACACAATGTCCCGTTACCTTCGCCCTTCCCTAAAATCACTTTTCATGGCATGTACATCACGCATAACATGTAATTCAAGAGACGTCAAATACTACGTGAAAACGACGACGACATAGTCAGAAACATACCAGAACCGTCTGAATTGTCCTCGAGACGAGGACGTTTCGCGTCTGGATCTTCGGTAGAAGCAGCATCAGCGTCTCCGTCGGCGTCGCCGTCACCATCAGCATCACCATGACCGTCGGCCAGCGACTGTGAATTGCCATTAGACTCGGCGGAAGCCGGTGGTAGCTCGAACGGTTCGCTATCTAATTCATCGAGTTTCCGCTTGTGATCAGACGGAGCAGGGCTTGCTGAGCCCATAACCTCTTCGTCCCCCATCGCAGAGTAGATCCGAGTTTTAGGGTTTCAGTAAGGGTTCGTAAGATAGGTGCAAAGTAGTCTCTTCTGTTTCTTCCCCTGGGATGATTCAGGGTCTTTTATACATACGGCCCTCGGATGAATATTTTCTTTCCGTTTTGGTCCCTGGACAGACGGACAGTGGGAGTAAAAGTGGGTGGGAGTGTGGATGAAATAGGGCTAAATGTAAACCGGGCCAGTTGGAATACTAATTTAGGCCCGTTAACAAGAAAGCTTGGGTCCAAAATACATTATTTTTTATTCGTCGTATATGTAGCGATTAGCGAAGTGGGCATACAGGTTTTCTAATTTAACCAGGGTGTTTGGAATTGCATTTTAGTTATAAAAAGTACTTTTTTACTTATAGTTTTTTTAAAAATTAGGTTTTAAAATGTATTTGGATTAGTTTTAAAGGAATAAAAGTTAAAAAGTTAAATGTCACCAAAATGTGACTTCTAAAACCATAACTTTTTCTACCAAATAACTTTTCAAACTTTTAGCTTTTTGAAAAAGCTAAAAATCCAAAAAAATCATTTTAAAAATGATCCCAAATACCCTTTTAGTTTGGCCTATCTCATTAGGGAGCTGATATTTTTGCGATATTTATGATGTATCACCATTGGTCATATCCAACTTCTTCTTATTGTACCAACGTCAACAACCTCACCTCCAACCATCTATGACTTCCTCACATCCTATAATGGAATCTACAATTAAGAAGTGATTTCCCTAATCCAACCATCTATGACTTCTTCACATCCTATAATGGAATCTACAATTAAGAAGTGATTTCCCTAAGTATTTCAAAGCACTAAAACCAATTTAATAAATTGGTTTAACAACATGTTGTTATTAATTTAGGTATTTTTTTATGACAATTTGTAAGTCTCTCGACCTTAACTCAATTATTGAAACTTCAGTCTCGTCGATTCAAACTTTCACCATAAATAAGCGACTTTATCACGCTTATTTCATCCTCACAACTATCTCTCTCTCTTATGTTAAACGAATCATTACAAAAATAATCCAGTTTCAATATGAATTATCCATTTTGTTAATCGTGTTTACAGTAGTCATGTTGCTTCTCATCTTGATCTTTAACCTCTAGACGAGGAGTTTTGTATTTTTATAAGTTTATATGTAATGGAATGGTGGTTCCATTATTGTTTTTTTGTGCGATTTTAATTATTGTACATAAATTCTGGTTTTATCGAGGATGGAGTCGGAGGTTGCAATTTCCGTCTCGTTTGCCTCCATTGACATCCTTGATATCCCAACGGAAAATTATCATTTTGGTCCAAAAATGTTTGGACTAGCACCATAGGTCCAAAGTTTTTATTTTATTACGATTCTGGTCAAACTTTTTTGAAAATATTTAAATTGATGGTTTTTCCCTTATTATTTTGATTTTATTTTTCTTTTAGGACAATAATTAAAAAATAAAAGTAAAAAAGAAAAATAAACCTCATCCCAACCCCTACCCATTCTATTCCTGTTAGTATACTACTCTTCCCCATTCTTCACCTTATTGCCATCTGATAAACATCACCACCACCGGTCAACCCCTACCACCACCACTAATTACCATGGTCACCACCCTCGATCTTCGTGCGAAGACCCTTACCGAACCAACACCTCTTTCTCCCTTCACCCCTATCTTTTATGACTCTTCTCTAATTTAGATCGACGAACATCGCATTCTTCTCGCGCTAAGACCGACGAACACCACCTTCCAGTAACATTTGGGGTTCGCTATTAACGAGATCGACGGAGTATGAGGTCGAGTTGCAGTAAATCTGAATATGTTTGTCGTTGAAACAAGTACCCTAATCCATATGATATAGGTGGCGACGCTAGGGATTTCCGGTATGGATATGGATCCATTCGTCGTGTACAATCCCCTCAAGAACATAAAGTCACTGGAGTCGGAGCCTCTAAAACCCTAACTCTTCAGATCTCGATAAGTGGTGGCAGAGACGATAGGGGCTGAAGGTGGGGATGAAAATCGTGTTACTGTCAAATCTGGAATGCTCCTTCTCTGACGATATAAATCTAGAAGACGACGAAGTTGACGAACACTAATGGCGACACTGTGATTCGACGAATGAGACGATCAAGTCGAAGAATACGAAGGAAGGTGATGGTTTCAGTGGTTTCTGATGTAAAGGGTGGTTTCGATGGTTTCCATCGAATATGGTGGCGGTAGCGATGGTGGTTTCTGATGATGACGGTTGTTTCCGGCAAGGCGGTGGTTTTCAGTGAAAATGTAGAGTGGAGAGAGAGAGAGAGAGAGAGAGACTTGTATGTGTGGTGGGGGTATCTAGGGATAGGGTTATATTTTGTTTTTTTGATTTTTTTTGTAACACCCTGATTTCCGACTATCAATTTGTGGTTATTATTTCTCATGATTTCAAGGTCTACTCGACGAGTTGGTTGCCTGACTCACTGAGTATGACTGATTTTGGTGAGGAATCATTTGGGGAAAACAAGTAAATTGAAGCAAGAACTTGTGGGAATCAAAGATCTACTTCAATTGGCAATCTCTTGAAGGTATTAGGATGTTTCCTTGGCTCAATTCATCTTTAATCTCGTTTGGGTGGGTTTTAGGAATGGTTTCTTGTGTTTGAGCCAAGATTTGAAGTTGCAACTTCAGATATGGACTCCCTTTGGCCTCTAAATCCATAAAGTTATTAGCTATGACAAATATGAGCATTCCCTCAAATGTGTGAGACTTCTTTACAAGCTTGGTGTTGTCATTTTAAGACTTTAGAGCTTTGCATGCACGTAAAGTTTGCAACTTTACGTGATAAACATGTCTTGGGAATCTGAATCTACAATTTGAGGCCTTAGCATGGCTTAAAAAGCCTCTGTATGGATGAAGGACTGAAGGGACTCGACAAGTCCGATGAAGATTGTCATGGGCTCGGCGAGTCAGACGAGTGACTCGACGAGTCGACTGGAGTTTTCCCAACCTTTGGACACATATGAACACGACAAATTGTAAAGGGGAAAACTCGACGAGTTGGCCAAGGCGTTGCGGCCACTAACACTGGGAACTCGACGAGTCACTCAAGTGACTCGGCGAGTTGGTGAGATATCCCAGGAACTCGGCGAGTAGCTTGGCGAGTAGCTGAGGGTACTCGACGAGTTGAGGTCAACATGAACTGTTGACCTTGATAGTTAACATTGACTTTGACCAAGGGTTTACCGATTTGACTTTTAAGGATAATTGGTAAGCGAGTATTTATGAATTGGATCGTTTATGGTTATAGGTGTTGGAGTTTAGGGCAGTGTTTCGGGAGCGTGATTTCGTGGTTCAATCTGGAATTACAAGTTGAGTTATCCTCACTATATCAACATGGTGTAAGGCACCAAGGTCGGCCCTTTATCGGATTTGTATCCGAGTATTTGCTTGATATGTTTGTTGATCTACTAGATCTGCATCCTGGTAGATAGGATGGTATTATATTAGTGACCTGGTTTAGGTTGATATCCTGGTATATAGAATGATGTTATGTTAGTTACCGGTTAGGTCGATATCCTGGTTATAGGATGGTTGTTGTGTTAGTGATTTGTTAGATCGATATGATGATCTGTTATATACATGCTAGCGTATGATATTATGTGCATGTGATTGTTTGATTAGTATAGGGGTTGGGTTGAGGCAAGTCCTACTTCGTGCTATAGGCCAACATACCCAGGGCGGACCGGATAAACTGCAGGCCCAGGAGGGCACCTAGTCAGGCCGAAAGCCCGACGAGCGGTCTGGATAGGCTGAAGGCCCTAGAGGGTGGTCCATATGTGCCGAAGAGTGGGCCAGATAGACTGAAGGCCCGGTGCGGGCGGTCCATTCGTACTGTAGACTTAGAGAGTGGACTAGGTGGATTGAAGGCCCGGTGCGGGCGAACAAGTCACACTATAGACCCGTGATGCATAAATATTCTATTACTTATATGTTTATATGATATGGTTATCTGTATGGCGTTGGTATTTTGGGGGTAACTCACTAAGCTTTCAGACTTACAATTTCAGTTTATTGTTTCAGGTTCAATGGATGACCACGGGAATGTGAAGGTGTGACCGTACACTTCCTCGATTGATGATTATGATTTCTAGGAACTCTGATGTTTAAACTATTTTGAAAACAAATTGTAATAATTGAATGGTTTTAAATGACTTGATAAAGTTTTAAATTAGCTTGAATTTTATGGATGGTACATTTTTTATTTTTCTTTTGATAAAAAAAAAAAAGATAAATAGAAAAATTGAGAAAAAAATTAAAGACAAATTCGTCATTATAACAAAAGGAGTCGTTTGATAGTTGCTAACTGGGTTAGAACTGACTGGATTAGAAGCTGATTAGGTTAGAAGTTCTGACTGAGTTAATTTCTAACTGAAACTTGTTGTTTGATTTTGTATTTAATTAACCGGGCAAAATGACTATATTACCCCAAACCCTTTTTAATAACTCCTTTACGATTTACCATTTAATTTATAACATTACGTTTTTATAAAAATATTCAGCACTATCAAATACTATTTACAAATTAAATGAATTAACATTTAAAAGATTTCTCGTCCTATTTTATATCATCCCCATAGTCATTTGTATCTGCATCGTCATCGATTTTACTAGAACAAATAGGATGCAAACGTTTACCTATACAAGAACCATGTAGAAAATAGTGATTTACTTAAAAGAAGAACCTAAACTTGAATCAATGACGCATAGAAAGATACGACTTCCCGCTTTCATAACATGATCTTGACACAAGCAATTGCCTAATGCCTAATGTCAATTTCCAGAACTTGTAACTATTAAGCATTCAAAATTTGAAAAGTAATCAGTAAATGCAACTATATTTCCGATCAAGGGGACTAATTTCTTAATTAAGCGGCTTCATTCACCTATTGTTACTTGTTAACATTTCAAACATACAAGAAGCATTCAATTTTCAATCTGAACCAATAACATGTTCGAGTATCAAAATTGAAATATAACTTTCATACCCACTCTTTAGACATCCGATTCAGTAAAGAAAGGAAATATATATATATATACATACATATATATATATATATATATATATATATATATATATATATATATATATAATTCAATGGTTTCTCATTCTCTTCAGCGAATACAAGTTGACTCCCAATGCTAAAATCGATATCCCCCCCCCCCCCATCTGTTCTTACATGCATTCTTTCTAAATGCACAATCCTGATTGTTTAATGTTTATACACACAAAGTTGTTTTTCCTTGAATTCGTTCCAATGCCACCCATTTGGATTTTAGCACCTATGACCAAAATACATTTCGATGGGATGAAGTTCTTCTGGTTCTACTTTGTACAATCCTATGATAAAATTAAAGAAGAAAATTCAACATGCTCTCTACCTGCCATCACTTCTCCGAATTCAAAAACTGATCAAACCCTACCTGGTATATAACTATTGGGGAAATTCAAATATTTCAAAAAAGGCAATGAAGAATTCAGGACTTAAAAGTACCTTTATATTGGATTGAGAAACCTTGGGATGCCTTGATTTCAATTAGAAGGTGGCGACAAAGATGATCACAATCAGCCGATGACGATGACCTTAATTTCGACTGTAATGTAAAATCAGGGCGAAGTTGTGATTTGGGAAAAATGGATGGAGAACTAGCATGACAGATGCGTTGGTGGCGGTGAGGAAGGAGGATGAGGGTGGAGCGTATCTTGCGTCATCCATGGCGTTGGAAGAAATCAAGAAATCGATCATGGAATTCGATGGGTAAAATGGGTAAAGCTTCGTTCACTCGGTCAACAACATTATTTTAACGGACCGAGTCAGCTACTTTTGTTAGACCGAGTCAGAGCTGTGGAATGGGTCAGATGCATATCAAACGCTCTGACCGGACCGAGTCAGACAAAAACTTGTGACCGGATCCTGTCAATACCAAATCAAACAACTCCAAAGTTTAAAGCAAATTTGATCAAACTAACAACAAAATGAAAAGTTTGGATGGTTTGAGCAAAATAACAATTTTCGCTAACGCATGGACCATTTGTGCATTTTTGTCAAAGTAAAATAACCGGAATGCCCTCTTGTAACCTATAATCAATATACGGACATCGCTTCTTCTCCATCGACCGTCCATCAACGCCATCGTGCTTCTTCTCAGTCGACTTGGCTTGTTCTTCTCCAGCACCGCTGCTTCTCCTAATCTGTTCTTCACCGTAGACTCCATCTCCTTCGTCGGTTTGCTTCTACATTGGATTCCTGATTTCGAACTGCAATAATCGATTTTTAGGGATCACAAGATTAAAAGGGAGACGCACGGAAAAGAGGAGAAGGCCTGTTATCGTCTTGTTTATTATTCCATCTCGCCTCCCTGAGACTTCCTGCGCTGATCAATCCCAAATCCGACATCAAACTCACTAGTAAGTAATTTCAATTTATTGTCTCTAGTACCTGTTGCTGAAGCAATTTATTTCTAGTACCTTTGCTGAACCAATCCGAATTTCTGTTCGTAATTTTTGCTTAAAGAGTGTTTGCAAGAAAGGCACACAATCTGTTTGATAAAATGTCTGAGGGAAGTGTCTAGATTTTGGGTTTCCTGTGCTCATTGCTGCTGCTCTATTCATTATAGTTTAAAGTTCTCTGCTATTGTAGAAGGCTTTGAGTTGTTTCCTATGGCTAGATCATGTTTTAACTGATGCTACTTGAATCTTTCCTTGAACACTCTTGTAGACTGTTAGCTAATAGTGGTGGCAATCTTGAAGGAACTTTTGGCAATTGTTATCATTTTGGGTTTGCATTTGGTTATGTGGTTTTGCAAGAAGTTTATGATCATGAACATATGTTGTTAAAGATGACTGTGCATGAATATCACATATCATATAAATAATTATTGAAGTTAATAAAAATTGTGATGTTATTTATGTAAATTTTTGTCAAAAAGATTATTATAAATGATTAAAGATAAGGCATTGTATGTTTTGAAACACAATACCAAACACCCTCTAGAAATTACTGAAATTTGTGTTTGGCTCTTTGACTTCTTTAGCATCTATTCCATCTTAAATTAGGGTTTGATTGTTGTATCTAACAATAGGGTTTTATAGTATCCCTGGCTGATGTTTTTTCACATATTTCTTTTAAATGAAATTACTTGATAACAGTTGAATTAATCATATATTGAGAGAGTTTATTTTTGTAAGATGGAGCAAGAGGTGATAGAATCAGAGATGGTGTTACCTACTCACCTAAGTTTTAAAAAGATTCAGATGTACGAAAAGTACCCAAAAGGTCAAGCTAGAGGGAGGCATTGGAAACATCTCAAGCAGATCATACAAGCTGAAAATTACCAAAATTATCCTGCTGATGAACCAAATTGTGAGTACTTATCCATCTGTATTTATAGAAACCTGGGATATTGATATGTTTCATATTGCATCAGTTTACACATTTGTGATAATATGGAGTATTGTCAATAAATTTAGTGAAATAACTATCTAGATTTTTTTACAAATATGATATTTTTGATGATGATATAGAATTAGGATTTGGCAGTATGTATATCACTGGAATAAACATGAGTACATGTACAAATGGCAGTGTTAGGATATCAAAGGACTAAATTCGTAATATTTCTTCTTTCTAGGATTGTCAACCTTGAGATTAGAGAATTTATCCAAAAGCTTTAACGAAATTGTTTTTTAATCCAAAGAAAGATGCAAACCAACATGTCATTGATTGCCTTTTAGAAGGTGTTCATTTTTTTTATTGACATTATACTGTTTGGGGATGTCAATATTTATCTATTGACTTAGCATGTATATATCATTTTGCAGATGTTAATATTGAATCTCCACCTTCGATGCACCCTCGGAAGCAAATTTGTGATATAACTGGATTTGAGGTATGTAAATTAGACATGGGGTTAAATGCAAGAAATAGCAATATCATAGCATCTTACTTTCACTTATCCCTATTACGAGATTGTAGTTTGAAACATCTACCAACTATAACAACAATGTCATGCAAATAGAAAGCAATTTTCAGTGGTATAAGTGGGTAGAGTTTTTAAAGTATAATGTCCTAATGAAAGGACAATGCTACATTTGTGTGGATATTTCAAAAAACAATGCCTTAATGATGTAGTAGAAACTAGAAAGATGTATATGTAGGTTGGTTTTTGTGGTAAAATGAAATGTATGATTTTGCAGGGACCTTATAGCGACCCAAGAACCCATCTGAGGTATGCAAACACAGAAGTGTTTAAGGTGATCAGATCGCTTCCTAACGAGTATGTGCAAAGATATCTTGCTCTCAGAAATGCAGCAGTTGTTCTCAAGTAATATAAAATTCATTTCTCCATTCCATTTAATGTGTTACTATTTGATCCTTTCGGAGGTTGTTAACATTTGAGTTTGAATGAATATATATATATTTTAACCGGCTTTCAACTGTTTGAGTTTAACCCATTTCATCTGCTTGATTTTCTAGCCAAGCTTTTATATGTTATCCAATTCACCGTTTGATGATAAAATGTGGCCGAGATTAACCCATTGTAAGTAAGTGGTTAATCTCGGCCATATTTAACTTGGTGGGTGGTGTATCCATGTGAGTTTTGAAATTGATTTATGTGATATTGAATAATTAGAGAATAAGATACTCTTTTGTAAATAAATGATTTGCAGGAGATGATATTTAGATGTGTTTTTTTTCCCTGTTAGTGGTTGATTTAAATTCTATATTAGAAGGCTTTTATTAATCTGATGTTCATCCACATCAGATATTAGTTAAAAAGAATCTTTTATGCATGATCATTTTAATTTGTAAATTTTAGTCTTCACTGATTTCATAACGATAAAATGAAATAGATACAAACATTGCTTCCTAAAATTGAAAATTTACTGTTAAAAATAATCTTTTACATTGTTCTTAAGTTTTTTGTTGAAGGGGTGAAAACTAACAAACAATGCTTAGAATTAGGGTGCCTAACGTATTAGGGCATCACCTTATATGTCACTACTACTTAGGCACCCTAATTGTAAGCCTCCATTGTTTCGTATAAGGTGATGTCATCTATTAAGAGCTAATCATCAGTAGTAGCTAATCCCTTCAAGTCCAATCTCACACTTTGTTCCCACTTTCTCCGTGGACGAACTCTCCTCCTCACACCTTTGACTATAATTGTCTCCACTCTCTTTAAAATTGTCGATGTTTGTCTTCTATGAAGATGTCCAAACCATCCTAATCTTCATTCCCTTAATTTCTTTATGATCGATGTTAGCTTACTGAAATTCTCTATGATCAAGCCACACCCAACAATAGCATTATCTTTCAGTATTTAAAAAAAATACTGCCTAGTCTACTAAAATGTATGTTCGGTAATTCGTGGGTGTAACTTTTCTAACTTGGAACGAACACAAAATGCTTGCGTTGAACAACATATTTGGCGATATCATAATTTTCTCAATGTAAAAGAAAAACAAGTTGACGTATATAAGAGTAAAAACACTAATATTTCTTCGGAAGCAAGTTCATATACATATGGGAAAAAAAACATTAATATTAACTTCTGGTATTCTCCTAGATTCTTCGTTATATGTGCGATAAGGGGTCGTTTGTTTCGTTGGATTCCTAAGGAATTTAAAGGAATTGTAAACTAAAATCCAATACAAAATGTGTTTGGTTTACAAAAGGAATGAAATATGATTTCCGTAATTACTTTATAATTCCTTATATGAAAGATTTTCAATTCATTCCCAATGCATCAAGAATCTACATTCAATTGCTTATTTTTATTATATTTTCTTTTTCGGATTGCACAATTATCCTCCCATGTAAAATTTTGGTAACAAATATCATCTACGTATTTTATATTTATTATATAATAAATGACTTGTTGCTTTATATTATGATATATAATAATTTTATTTCAATTTAAAAAATATTTTTATTATTTAATTGTGTTTAACGAAATGTTATTTATTTTTTTAATTTATATTTTATAGAATAGTTTAATAAAAGATGTTGTAATTAAATAAAACTTTGTGTTGTTTATTAAAAAATATAAATAGTATTTCTGTCATAATATAAAATTTATTTTCTAATTTCTTTGTAAAATCAGCAAATTAAAAAACAGATTCCATTCATTGTCCTCCAAACGCATTTCAACTTCTAGTACATTCAGATTCTAATTCCTTTGGATTTCAATTCTTTGGACAAATTCCATTGCTTCAAAAAACATTCTGCGAAACAAACGCCTCCTAAGTACTTGGCCATTTGAGAGATGTACTTATGTTATGGGGCTTGGAATGACTACTTGGAATGACTATAACATTAGTTCTGGTGTTGTTTGGTCTAATACTTGATGGTGAGTCATGTGTGATATTGTTGTTAAGTCAGACCGGTATATATATATCAGTCCTATTAAAAGTTTTTCCAACATGTTTGGCGTATCGTAGAGTGGAATGTATGATAAAATAAGAAGTTTGGCTCGATGGTCTACCCAATTAAGAACTGCCAAAATGAAGTAGGAGAAAGATGAACAGAAGTTAATTTGTTTACTTTTTCCGTCGGTAAATATTCTACAAGTTTTTATCCTATGTACCATTTTGTCTTGATCAAAAGGTAATTCACAAGTAACTTTGGTTAATCCAAAATCTATAGAAGACGCTATATATATACAAAAAAAATGTACAACCCGAACTGCTTGTGATTACTTAGCGAGCCTATTCACGAGCTAATTCTAAAACTGATTGAATGTAAAGTAGTTTTGCGAGGAATAAATATAAACTTGAGAGCGTTGTAAATATTAGCAACATGAACATGTGTTTTGTATTTCTTATGTGTTTTTCCTCTCTGAACATCTGATTAAGTCCCCTATTTAATAATAGTATCTATATCATTGAATCAGTTGGTTAGCATGGTAACAAAACAAAACTTTAATTATTATCTAACTATCTATCACAACCTTCTGCTATAGGAACTATTTATTTACCTACCCTTATTCTCTTAATAAGTCTAGTCTCCAATGAGTCCCAGATTAAGAAAACCATAGCTTAATTAAGATCATTAATATTAGGGCTAAAGGAAAGAAATAGTAATGTAATTTCAAATATTTATTTGTTATTGTATCTTACTTTCACTTTTGTCTATTACATCATACTATTTTCATTAAAAAAGAAATTACACATAAAGGCATTTCATATTGAAAAAATTGTCCAACTATAGCAATCTTCTTTCGATTTTTTCTTATTAGGACATCATATTTTAAAAAAGGAAAACCAACCCTATTATAATAATGATTTTTATTTATTTATTTATTTATTTATTTGAATGACGATACTATAAGTGGGTAAATTTCCGATATACAATGTTGTAATACAAATACAATGAAATGAAAGTAGAATGTTATAATAAACAACTATATGAAAGTAAGTCGATATTTTGTTGTATATAAACCTCCTTAAAAAGTTAATGCTTTTCATTACAAGTATGGTTTATAGATCTTGGTGGCTAAAGGTAACTTGCATACTTTCTAGGGAAGTCTTGCAGTTTTTTCATTTATATATAATGTTAAATGCAAGAAACATCGTATTCTCATTACTTTGTGCATCATAGTATCATGCTTTCGTTTCTTTCTATCATAGCATTATAGTTTTTTTTTTTTTTTGACAAAACTGCACAAATGGTTCCCGTGGTTAGCTGAAAATTATCACTTTGGTCCAAAAGAGTTTGGACTAGCACCAGAGGTCCAAACTTTTCATTTTGTTGCGAGTTTGGTCCGATTTGTTTTAAACTTTTTTGTAAAGACGATTTGGCCCCTTACTATTTAATTTTTCATTTTTCTTTTATTACAACAATTAAAAATAAAAGAAAAATAAAATAGACAAAACTGCAAAAATGGTCCCTGTGGTATGCATTTTTTTGGGGTTTTAATCCAAACCACGACTTTTTTGGATTGGTGGTCCTTTTGGCCATGTTTGAACGTAGATTTGGTCCCTCGTAAAATTGAAATGACTATAATGCCCTTCTGTTATAATTTTTTATTTTTTTCTCTGTTTAATTTAAATGAAAAAGAAAATAAATAATTAATTTGGGTCTCTCTCTACGCAAAGAGTACAAAACAATCACCATTATTTGGATAAATCCATATAAATCTGGATGAACACTTGAAAAAACGCAAAACTTAAACAAACACCAAAAATTCTACATATGAACAAACCTAGAAATTGAAGATAATCTTGAACAAGTATGTATCAGTCCATATGAACACATTAATAAAACCATAGAATTGAATTAGGGCAGTAAATGATAAGAAAAGTCCAATCCATCTCGTCACCTTCTTCTCCAACATCAAAGAATAAGGAGAGGCAGCGGAGGTGGTTGTAGAGAAGGAGAATAGTCGTTGGAGATGCGATCGAAGATGGAGATGTAGCGATTTGAAGGATTTCTTGTGACGTTTATCTTTCCAACAACTATAGCGATATGAAAGAGATCGAAAAATCGATGCACATTCACTTGAATTCGTACCCTAGAATATGGTTTGTTCATGTTTCCTGCAACTATGGCGATCGATTCTTATGAGGTTTTCCTGCGACAGAGCGATAAACCAGTAGATGGGCTGGTGGCTTCCAGTTGTTAGGGTTTGCAGCAACAGATCGAAGTTGATTTGCAGGTGAGAGGTTAGACTCTCGACATCAAGCTGATGAATTTCAATGTGATAATTTCTTAACCTAGATAAAAAAAAACGAAAGTAGATATAAATGGGAGAGAAGTGTATTGGTGGTAAGTTATTAAGTAGATTCGTTTGCTGGTAGTGATTATACACAAAATAGTGAATGGATTTTCCTTTTTGATTTTGGGTTGCAGGTGATCTACTAAAAGAAAGACAAATAGAGAAGAAGGGGTGGGTGGGGAAGAAGACGATGGGAGAGAGAGAGAGAGGGAGAGAAAGAGACAGATAGATTTTGTATTTATTTATTAATTATAAAAGGGTTAAGAAAGAAAGAAAAATGAAAAATAAATATGTTAAGGGTATTTTAGTCTTTTTAATTTGGAGAGGGACCAAATCCGCAACGAAACTAGCTCAAAAGGACCACTAATCCAAAAAAGTCGGGGTTTGGACTAAAACCCAAAAAAAAAAGGGGACCATTTTTGCGATTTTGTCAATAAAATACCCCCTTTTTCTTTCTCTCTCTCTCTCTCTCTTCGTTTTAATACCCAGAAGATATAACAACTTCTTCAAAACCCACCTTCTACTCCTCACCATTGTTCCTTCTTCTAGATATGTTTCTCCTTCCAGCCACGACAAATCAGCCATCAACACCACAATCACCCACCATCACTATTCTCATAGTCGATACCATCCGAAAATCTCTATTCTGATCATCTTCTTGACAAAATCGGAACCCTATCACCATCAGATAAGCTTTGGTTCATTCATCAATGGCGTCATTGCCTTATAGTTTTTTCCGACATGAACAAACTAAATAAGCTGCATCTCTTCATATTTCTTTCTTGAAAAATTCAACATCCAAGAAACGAGGTATGAAGCCGAAAATTGAATCAACCCTAACTCTCTTCAAAAACCCCAAAACTGAATGTTGGTAGTGGTTTCCCTAGAAGAAGGTGAAGATGATGGCTGGTGGGGTTTGTTTACTAGAGGAGGTGGGTTACGGTGGTGAACAAACACAACCACCAACAACACCAAATCTCCCCTGAATGATGAACCAGTTTTGAGATGATGAAC